GGGGGCGGCCTTGAGTTTTCGTATGCTTTCCTTTATTTGGTAACATTGATTTAAGTATTTATGTTCGAATTATGTAAGTATTCAAACAACATTGTATAGTATTATATCATATCTACATTACATACATAATATACAATATAATATGTTTATTAATCAACACAAATATACGACGCGCCCTTCCGTAATGATCGGCTGGTTCCGCCCCTGATCCTAGCAGTTCGTATTTCTTGTTCTGCATTAATGAATTAGGCATGTATCCTATTTGACTTTTTTAATTTTCATACTAGTTAGTTTTCTAATTTCTTTCGCCTGGATTTTCAGCTGGGATTTACAGTCTTGTCCCATCGTTTTGCCAGCTGTCAGCTATCGCCGCCCAAAATACTTTTTTCAGGGTGGGAGTGTAATTTTCTCAATTTTTCAGTTTCCTAATGATAGAACCGAAATATTTAACTAAGAATATTATATAAGAGCAAATCTAGTCCAATAATGAAATTTGCGTTGAAACATTTTTAGCCGTTTTTTAAGAAAATAGTATTTAAGCGTAACTGTAAATGCGAAATTTCAAGCTCTATTTCACAGAGATCTTTTGAGTTTTCGAGAAACTTTCTTGGAAGTTATTCGAAGCACTTCCACTCACAAATGCAGTAATGTATACAAATTGCATGAAATACGCATATTAAAGGCGTGACAAAAAGGACATTTGTATAATTTAAAAAAAGAAAAGAATACAGCAAAATTAATTTTGTGATCTTAAATCGTGTATTTTGTACTATCCATACGAAAAGTCTGAAGAAAATATTTAGAGCATTTTGAGAAAATGGCGTTTGAGCGTTTATGAAAATGCGAAATTTGAACGCATTTTCACAGAAAACTGTTGAATTTTCGAGAAACTTTATAAGATATCATTGAAAGCACATGTACTTGTAAATGCAATAATGTAAACAAATCGCCGCTAGTGTAAATATTAACGACGTGAGAGGTTCGTGAAAAAAAGTTGTAATTTTTGGAAAAACAAAATAATAGAGGAAAATGACGTTTATGTCATCTTTAGTACATGTTGCACTATCACTACCAAAATTTTAAAGAAAAAATTGGAACCGTTTTTGAGAAAATCGTGTTTATGTAATTTTTTAAAAGTGTCCATTTACACGCCATATTGCGCGAAAACTCCCAGAATTTTCCAAAAAATATACGTGTACAAAATGTACAAATATAAAAATGTACTTTATGAAAGAACTAACTATGGAGAAAAAATTTACTTGAAGAAAAAAATCTGTCTTCAATTTTGCAGTTTTAGAAGAAAGATACTGTAAAATTTCAAACATTTGCAATTTTCGAAAATTTATATATGAGTAAAAATCGGACCAATGTCACCTTTATTAGTGTATTTTCCTCTAATCTCACCAGAAATTTAAAGAAAAAAATTGGAGCCATTTTTGAGAACATTTTTAAAATTCGCAAGGGCTTAATGCAAAGGACGCCCAAAAAGAAATGAACGTTTTTCAAAATCGCAGAGCATTGAGTGAGTCCAGATCGACATGCGTTTATTCAGACTGGAACAAATCATACGCATAATGTTGTTTACAGACTGACGGACAGACGTTTTGAAGAAAGAAAAAACACACGTTTTCCGGCGTACGATTACAAAACTTTCTCTTCTTACAAAGTTCCTTCGTAATCGTTTTCCGCGCAATCACATAACTTTTTCTGTATTACACATATTACTCAGTATATTCGTACGTATACGAGAAAGTAACTAATGGCGCTACAAATGACACAGGCTTTCTCATATTAGATAGTTTCCAAATTTCTTTCGCCTTGGCGGCCTTGTCTCCAGCCTCTTGCTAGCTATCATCTATCGCGGCTCAAAATACATTTTTTTAATTTTCCCCACTCAATTTGTCGGTTTCTTAATGGTAATACCGAAATTATACTATAAGGATATTAAAGAAGAGTAAAACCTCGTTCTATACGGAAATGTTCACTGAAAAATTTGTCACCGTTTTTAGGAAAATATCTCTTAGGCGTTACTGTAAGTAACGTAAGTAAAGTAAGAAATTTGAAGCTCTTTTTCATGGAAAACTTTTGAGTTTTCGAGAAACTTTATTGAAAATCATTTGAAGTACTTTCCCTCACAAATGCAATAATCAATACCACTCGTTGGAAATGTGCATATTAAAGACATGAAAGATATTTCAAAAAAAGTACATTTGCGCGATTTTTGAAAAAAAAACAAAAGAACACAGAAATATGACTCGGGTCAACACTATCAGTACAAAAGTTTTGAAAACAAATAAAAGTCATTTTTGAGAAAATGGCATGGGAGCTTTTCTGAAAATGTGGAAATTTGAGTTCATTTTCACAGAAAAATTTTCAGTTCAGAGTAATATGGAGCATCTTATAGAGTACATTTAGCACTATTCCTACTAAAATCTAAAGAAAAAATTGGGTCAGCTTTTGTGAAATTTTAATTTTTGGTATTTTTTTATATTGAACATTTTTTACTCAATATTGCAGGAAAACAACAGAAGTTTTTAAAAAAAATGTAGATCGAAATTAATGAAAGAACTAATTATGGAGAAAAAAATTAATTTGAGGAAAAAATCTCTATCTTCAGTTTTGTTGTTGTAGGAAGATGCCAAAAAGATTTCAACCTTTTGCAATTTTTGAAAATTCAGAGTTAACAGTAAAAATCAGGAAATACTTGTGACACAAATACTTTATTAATCTGTCATTTTTGTGAAAAGAGAGACGTGTTTTCTATCACAATATTTGCCACATTTTCAGTTTACTAGCATTGTAGAAATAACTAAAAAGAATGAAGAATTTGTGTTTGAATTTGACTTGGTACATGAATGATTTGTTAGTAATTATGGGATGTGGAAGGCAATAATAAAACACTACATCACTAATCAAAGGAAAAACTGTCAATAACTGCTGCATACAGCATACTGCTCTGTACAGAATAGGACTTAAAAAGAGCTTAGAGAAGATACAAAACAGAGTGGCAATATACACATTTCTGAGGAACATTCCTGCACATTGGGAAGCATTAGAACACTGAAGAAAAAGGACATGACTTTGCAAATTGTATAATGGTTGCTCTGCAAGGAGGGAATTTCTGGGAATAAGCCAGATTATTTAAATACATTTTATCATAAATATAAGAGAAGAACATGAATACAAAGAACGGATGAAGGCAAATTCTCCTTTGTAAACAGAAAATTAATAGATTAGAACAATTTGCCTGTGACAGTTTTTGAACCCTTTCCTTGCTCAGTGTGAGGTTTTAGGGAAAAAAATGTAGGAAATTAGTCAATAGGGTAGAAAGATGTAGTGAAGTGAAGTGAAAGGTGAGATAATTAGGTAACCTGCAGTTAAAACATACTAAGTAAAGTAAGTAAAACCATTAACTAATATTTACATAATATGTGGTGAGGTGAAGTGAAGTGAAGTGATTTCAATTCTTTCTATTTGTTTTGCTAATATAAAACGTCATTGTTTTATGTTTAGTTATTTATGTAAACGAGTGTTTCACATGTCAAAAATACAATAATTATTATAAGTCTTGTATTGTATTGTTATTTTTATAGGTAAAATGTTTACCCATATTTGTCTAAATATTCTTATGGGTAATAAAGTGCAGGCCTATGTATATGAGAGGGTTCATACGTCTACGTATGTTTGTACCTGTGTATGTATATATGTATGTATGAGGTATGAATGTATGTATGACTGTACATTAATGTAGTAGGAAAGTTTATTTATCTAAAAGTTAGTATATATGTATTAAGATATGTAATTGCTATCTGCATGTGCTAGGTAGTGACAAGGAAATGTTTTTATATTGTTATTTCATATAAATTGTTTTTTGTATTTGTAATTGTAATTGTTCTTTCATGTTGCTACATTCTGCCACTGGGCAACTATGCCCAATTGTAGAATAAAGTCTATCTATTAGAGTCATATGCTCAAATTCCACATGAACTCTTGTAATTGTTACATGGAAAGTAAAGGCAAACAACCATGAAACTTCTATAGTCATCAAAATTGTGTGTGTATGTATGTGTATGTGTGTGAGCGCGCTGGGATGGGTATTGGGGTATTGCACATTCATGACAAGAAAGGATCCAAATACCGTTTTTGGATTCTTTATCTTCCCTTACAAATTTTATTACTTGCAATATAGCACATGCAACTGCGAGGAGTAAATGAAGCCACTACAAAGTGTTTTACAACACATTATGCAATGTATGTAAAGTATTTTACTTGATACCTCAATGTTACAAGCATCTACTTTATTTGTAAAACACACGACATTTGCACTTTTCTTCAAGGAGATCAATTTTTTCATAAGGCTCTTAGGTTCATAATCCAGTAAAACGCAAAGGGCTCTTCTCCTCTAAAATCTCTTTTACAGAATTTCAACTTGTAATATACACTTTATCCGGAAGTTTGAAAGAATGAATCAAAAAATAAAAATCTTACCTGCAATTATTTGTTAAACAATGAGCACATTTCTCTTGCATAGTGCAGACAATTATGGGAAATGCTATTATTCAATATATATCTTGCACCCAACCATCTTAAGAAAAAATTGTAGACAATAATAATAAAGCTATTTAATTACCATTCTTTCAATGTTTGGAAAGTGTCTATAACATTTGTCACAGGCATAATACACATTTATTGTCATCATTGAAAACTCTCACAAATCAGTGCCACTATTACACCATTTTACACATTTTTGATGGTTTCTGTTACAGAAAATGCAAGATTTTTTTACTTTCAATTATGTGCTAAATTAATGTGTATATGATTTAATAAATTGCACCTTATTCTTCAAATTTTATTTCCAACACTCTGAAAACATTATATTGCATACTTTGACCATTTTCCCTTTAAGTTTTTGAAATGCGTTTTAAAACTACCCTTTTACTTACAAAATATTTATAAAAAGATTTATTCTTGGCACTGTTCTGTACAACTTAAAATGCAATAAGAGATAACCTCACCAGGCCATTGATAAAACCATTTAGCCTGCGTTTTTTGTGATCAAATGGTGAAAATAAGGTGAAAACAGTGTTTGGCACTTTTGCAAGCAGTTTTGATGATCAAAGTAAATAAATGTTTTCCACAGATTTTGTCATTAAAAAACATCTTTAAGAAAAAGTTGTAAAAGACATGGACATGTCAGATTGGCTCCCGCAGATTGGCTCACAAAACAAGTGTCATGACTTTAGCCAAGGACAGTAATTTGAAAACTATACAGAATCTTCAGAATGAAAAATAATGAAATGTTTTTTATGGTATGAGAATGGTTCACACCCCACCATTACACTACAGTGCTGAATGATAAACTTTGAGTAATGACACATTTTGAGTATTGTGGAAAATATAAAATTAAAAATAAAAGGTTTTATTCTTTTTTGGGATGGATTCGAAGAGGAATATCATTTACCTCATTTCTCTATTGAGTAAAATTTGTAGTAGGGTTAAAAAAATAACTAATTAGTTTAAACAAAACAAGCATACATTTAATCATGATGGCACCTTTATCATTATAAACATCAGCTTATTCAAACAATTAGTATTTTAAAATACATAGTTGTAAGGATCCCCTGTACACTTGACATACTTTTCTCCTATTGCTTTACATTCTACACTTCACAGAATGTGGCCTCACAAGGTTTTAATTTGACATTGTGAGTACTTGTTCATAACATGATACAAAATGAGTAGGGGATATATCAATTATGTAACTATATAAGATCTATTGAACATTATCTCATAGGTCCTAAGTTAGATCAATTTAATTTATTCAGTTAAAGATAAAATGCTTGGATGTGTAATTAGTAATAATAAGGAAAAAAGAGTGTAATACCCTCCGATACAGCAAACTACAACCATTAATGGTCACATATTCTAAGATGACAACCTCTCACCTCCAGTACAATAGCAGACAGAAAAATGTAAGAGAAGCAACTAACACCATACTAAACTAATGTAGTAAATTAGAATAGAAGTAAAATACATATACTGCACAGTACTATTTGTACAGATTAATACAGTCTTTACATGATCCACTAATTTATCCCTACCCTCCATCTCGGCATTCAAGATGGCATCTTCCATCAGATCAATAAGTTTATTAATACCTGCATAATTAGAATATGAATTAATAAATTAATAATTGACATGAAATAATTTTGTGCAAAATTACATCCAAATACATGGACCACATAAAGTATTAGCAGACACAATACACACAGTACAACAAAAGTGGAAGAGCAACAAGAAATGAGCAAGACAATAATTAGAGCACCATGTTACAATACATGTTTTATAAAAAGCAGGAAAGCAGATTTCATCTGTACCTCTGAGTGATGCTATCATATTAACAATGAGCACAGAGCATACATACATAATTTCCCTGCTTGCCATCCACTTGTGATTATGTTGCCAAAATTTTACATCTTGAATCTGAAAACCACAATACCAATTCTAGAGAGTGCACTTAATGCACATTTTCTCCCCACATTTGCTGCACTGAGGCAGTGTCAGAAAAATACATTCTTGAAATAAGGAAGAACAGAATTACTATTTGAATAAGAAATTGGAAGACTGTAAATAGTAGCAGCATTCAGGAATCAGTTTCCCATATGGTAATAAACTTATAATTGAAATTAAGGTCAAAATAATTCAAGAACTACAAGATGTTGAAAAGTGTGTATCAATTATAACATTCTCAGTTCCAGCTTCAAATACTTCCCCTACAAATTACTTAAAACTCTAACTATGAAATACAAAATAATAATTACAATATAAGAATAATAAACATCACACTTTTGCTAGCACTTCACTGAAACTAACTAGTACTTCAAATTTTGAAAATGGAGATGAAGTCTGTATTTTTGTGATATGATGTGTAATATTCTGATCATTAATAGTATCTCCAAACGAGGTTATTTTATTTCAGTTAAGTCCACTATCAAATTTACATTGATACTTAGTGAACTTCAACATTTTGCAATTAAAATAAGTCACAAAGCATCAATAGCCCCTTAATGCTTCTTTAAAAGTAAACAAATGAAAATAAAATTCACTTGTACATCTACACCAGCTAATAATAAAAAGATAAGCACTTCCAAACAACAATATTTGTTAATTTGCAAATTATAATTACAAATAACAAAATAAAGTCCCTTTCAGCTTTTTGTATTCACAAACCCAGATTAATAATAATCAGTGGCTCAATGTGCTTTTGAAAGTTCAACACAATAGTTAAACATTCTTGATGAAGCCATGTCTCAAGGACCCAATCACTATTTAGTTTCTTACCCAAAAAGCTTATCAAAACATGCATGGCAGTATGGTTTATCATTTTGTTCCTTGAAGGTTCCTTTATTCAGCTGCTTGAGGCAGAAGGCACACACAAAGTGCTCGGGGTGAAACTTTCTGAACATTGCTGTAATGCATCGACCTGCAAAGGTAGAAAGAAAATTTGTAATTACTATGAGGTGAATACTTTATGCAAATAAAGGGAAAAAGACTATGTACAACCCTATTATCTCAATTATTTTAAATGGTACTATTACATTATTTTTGTTTCTTAAGCACATAATATTTTTTTGAATTTTCCAATATATCATTTTGTATTTGCAAGAAAACTTTTGTCTACATGTAGTTGCTCCTATGGATCAAATCCAAGGATAGAACAATATAAACTTCAGTGAACAATATAAACTTCTGAAGTCATAAGTACTAATTAATGTTTAACTAGTATGATTTCCAAGAAAGGATTTTACTATCTTACATAATATGAGACCAGAAACTAAAAATAAATAGAAGAAAAATAATATATTTCATTGTCAAGGTTGACTTAATCACACTTTTTTAATGAACCTGGAGTACGCAAGAAAAGTTTGCACTTCAACAATTTGTATTTCATTTAAGTCTAAAAAAGTTTGCCTACATTTATGGCATGGGAAATTCTAAATGAAGGAAAAATTAGGATTATTTTGTTAACAGCGTTACCTGTAATTGGCTTGTGACATCCTGCGCAAAGTGATCCTCTTTTGGCATGGTAATGTGTCTCACAGTATGGCAATCCTTCATGGTCAAAGAAAGACCCACCATGAAAAGGTTGGCGACAATCCTGTGAACAAAATGAAAATGTTTTAGCTCCCATTTATTAAAGCTGAACATTTTTTAACATGTAATTAGACTGAAGTGCATCCAGGTGGAGGGGGAGTGGGATGCTACAGGTATAGTACCCTGCTGACTGGGCACTATACTGTTTTCTAATAACTAACTTTTCATTTATGCTGAATATAAAATGTATTTTTATTTGTTGACTAACAGTTAATATTTATAATGTTAATAATTGATATTATATTGAATGACTTTCGGTAGGATAGAAAATTAGTGCAATCTATATTTTTGAATATGTATTATTGGCTTCAGGGGTGGAATGTTGATGGTACTCCCCCTCCCCCCCACACAATGGTCATTAGAATAAGTAAATAAAACTAGTTTTACTTTAACATTGTGCTTGAAAAAATGATGACAACCAATTCAAAAGATCTTTTGGTTATACTACAAATGGTCTTTTTGAAAAACATACATGAAAAGATCTGATTAGATTGAAATAGTACTTCAGAACGTTAGCTGTAATAATAATGGGAATGAATTTTAGTTATAGGCCTAATAATAGTTGAGAATGAATCTATGTCAACCTGACAGATTCCATGAGCTTGCAATTTCTTGACATTCAAGATAAAAATAGACAAACTTTTTTTATGGACTATTTTTTCACAACTTGGAATGAAAGTAGAGAAGTATTACTTAATACATGAGAATACAGAAAAAAAAAGAAAATAATATTTTAAGTAGAGTGTGGGATAGGACATTTTAATGATAGTATGCAACATTGACAGATGCAATTCTGCATTACTCTAGAAAAGATGGCAGGCGCATCATTAACCAAATTGAATTCCCCTAAGGATTTCCTAAACAGGAATTACAAATACATTGTTTATTCACTACATCTGAAAATTTTCAAAGGTTGATTGAAAAAGAAAGAAGAAATCCTACATAAAATGTTTAATGTTTCTTCATCTGTTCCACTGAATAGATATTCCAACATCATAGGGATATTGCACGCACACTGTTTCAATAATTTGCCCAACCATGACTCAAATGCACCTATTAAGAGTATATTGTAAAAGAAATTTGTAATGAAAGTGTAGTGAATATTTGTTAGGAAATGTACTAATAAAAGGTGCATTCTTATTGAGATTATTGGGAATGTTACGATTTGGATTTTTTTTGGAAATGTCAAAATTTCATTTGAACTGTAGCAAATGACCTTACTTGAAATGGAACTATTTACAACTATTGAGAAATATCATAAACTGTTTTGTAAATGCATCCAATTCTTTGTATTTGCATCAAGGATACAAAGAAGTTGAATGAGGTAATTTCTGAATGACAATGCTACTTTCACCAGTTTATATTTAGAATCATATAGTGCATGTGGAGTTGGCCAGAACAGACCTATGCAGTAATGGTACATTGTATGCACCTCATCTGCATAGTCTGCCTATTTTTTGTTTAATTGTTTGTTTTTGTTTTGTTTTGTTTGTTTTTGTTTTATTTTTTATTTATTTTTCAATTGCATACATTTTCTTGTACTTATTTTTTACATTTATATGTAAATTTAACGAATGTAAAATTATAATATGTTAAACAATATTTTTATGAATAAATTGAAATAAAATATTAGCTCATTTCTAAATCTCAAAATATAAACTCCATTTGAATAAGCATGGTCAAAATGATTTTTCAAGGAAAACAGGATGAAATGATTTGGAAATAAGGTTGTCTGTACATGTGCTGTTGTAGCAGTGGTAATAGTCATTGCTATTGACACAAGGGGGTTGTTCTATTGTTTTATTTATTTTTAATGTATTTTGGGCCATTTTGGAGGGCAGGGCTGTTCATCCATTTTTTTTTTTGCTCCCATTTATTCATCATCTTCATCTTCATCAACACCAACACATTTGGGGCACACTGGTTTTCCTTCCATAGCATAAAAGGATTTTCCTTGGACAGCTTTCTTGCAATCCTATGCAAGATATAAAGTTGTGGAAAAAGATAACATGGACATGTGTATGAAATAGAACTCGAGAAAAATCATATTTTTCTGCAATCTTCAATACGCTTAATTGTTTGCTGGAAAAAAAGTTATGTTTAATTAATTATGAAATTTAAAAGTAACTTTCAAAAACTTACCCTACAAACAAAACAATCAGCATGCCATTGGCTATTCAGGGCAGAAATGTAGTTCTCCATGATAGGCCTGTTACAAGCACCACACTTGGGAGCAAACATATCAAAATAATCATCACGGCAGTACGGTTTGCCATCTTTCTCATGGAAGCCCTCTTCGCCAAATTGTTTTCCACATTGGGCACAGAAAAAGTGCTCAGTGTGCCAAGTCTTCTCCAAAGCAGTCACACATTTCTGAAATAAAAATAAAGGAAGATATAATAATAATAATAATAATAATAATAATAATAATAATAATAATAACAACAACAATGATAATAAATTTTCCATTGCATTACTGACAAATTCTGTAAAGAGAAATTGAAAAACTATAAATATAACCCCCTTTCTTTAACATAAGTAAAGGATGGCATAGAAAATATTACTTAGAAAAATAATACCCTTTTGATTTCAAGTATCCTCCAACAAATCTCTAGGTTTTAAATGGAGATTTTTTTTACAGTGACACTTACATCAAGGATAGGGCCATTACAATAGGCACAACGAGGTGAAAACAAGTTGTGGTAATCAGGCTCACAGTATGGGTGCCCATCCCTCTCGAAGAAGTTACGAGTGCCCAGCTCCTGATTGCAATGGTTGCAAGTGAAATGCTCAGGATGCCAGGTTTTACCGAGGGCAGTGATAACCTGTAAGAAGAAAAAAAAAACAACTATAGCTTGCAACATCACAAAAATCACACTGAGAGAGCTCTTCTGAGCAACGATCTTCATGTGATGTCAACCTTCTTAATAACTTTAATTCAGTGCAATACATTCAGCATTCACACAGACTCGTTCGCAGGAAACGGTTAAGAAATTATCACACGCAGCACTGGCGGGAGCTCAGAATCGACGTCCACACGTCGCCTCGGGCGCCCGGGGGGCGGAGTGCGGGCGGTGAAGGGCCGAGGGCCGAGGGCAGCGGGCGCCGGCCGTGCTGCGCGGATTCTGAGCTCCCACGGCGTGCTGGCGGGGGCCGCTGGGCGAGGCGGAGCCGGGCCGAGTCGAGTCGCACCTGGCCGACGATGGGCTTGTCGCAGGCGTTGCAGCATCCCTTCTGGGTGGTGTTGACTCCTTGGCGGCTCATGTCTGCCTGGAGGTTGCCGAGCATGGAATCGAGCTGGTTCTGCTTGGGCGCACTGCCCGCGGGCGGCTGCGGATGGGCGGCGTGCGACGCGGGGGCGGCGGACGCGACGAGGGGGGCGGGGGAGGCGGCGGCCGGCGGGGGCTGCGGGCTCGGGGAGCTCTTGGTCGCCTTGTTGGGCTTGGCGTACGGCGAGTCGGTCACCGTCTGGTGCTGGTGGCTGCTGGCGGTGATCTGGAAAACCAAACACACAAATATCAAACTTCCACTCTTATCGCTACTAGAGTTCTGAATATCTCACGACAGTATTCGGCGAATTTCAACCTTCGGCGAAACGTATTAAAGACACCGAAACATTTCAAGTACACGAGTATAATGCGTTCTCCCGAAGGGGAGCGAGAGCGGCTGCGAGGGAGGTCCTGGCGAGGCGCAGTACCTGGCCGGAGACTCGGCCGAGGGCGGCTGTGCGAGAGCGGTCGCTTGGATCGGGGCTGCGGACGAGCGCAGGGGGCGGCGTGCGAGTATAGCGGCGATGGTCAGCCGGGGCGACGCTGGCCGGGAGTTGAGGCTGCTGCTCACTGGCTGCGCGCCCTCCTCACGGAGACCTGCTCGCCTGCCCGCCCCGCCCGCTCCTCTCCTCTCCCGCCTCCCCGCACCCGCGAGAACGTCCCACCCCGAACTATCATTTCTAGCATGCGGTGCGCTAGAGGGAAGAGGCAGAGGCGGAGGCTCCGATCGGGCCAAACGAAAGCGACCACACCGCGGCGCGCGGCGGTGGGTGCGGCGCGCCGCGCGGCCCATCGCCGGGATCTCTCACCCACCCCGACCCCGCCCCGCCCCGCCCCGCCCCCGCGCTGCCAAAGCGCGCGCGCGAGCCCGCCCATAAACAATATTTAACAGCTCTTGCGGCGGAGCTTCCCAACTCAATGGCGCGCCCGCCCTCGCCGCCTGCCTCGCCCACTCTCCTTTTTCATCAACCGCTCTTCTGACGGCAGATAAGGCCGACGTCATGATGGACAATCTCGTTAGCCTGTCTACTTGATGGAATGCAAACGTATTCCTAAAACTAACCTTACGATCCTTTTAGACTGGCTGTGCAACTTAAAGTGTAAGATCTACCTAGGTTTGCCAGTAACAACCTGGAAAAGCACTATGCATGTTGTGCTTCGTGGAAATGAATGTCTACTCTCTACTAAATCCCGAAATCCCGCACGAAAAAGAAAATCCACTATCGGACACTTAGTCGCGTTTATTTTTTATTTCCTACATTACTTTACTTCTCGCTTCACATGGAAGTTTGAATGCTTGATAGTTTTGCACTCGTTCCGTATCACATCATTACGCAAATGTAACTCGCAAACAGTAGTCACATTCACAGAAGCGTCGAAATGTAGTTAAGAGAGAAATTTTACGAATAGGATGTGCGTTACGACACAAGCTAGGGGCAAATTTTTATAAAATTTTAAAATAAAAGCGTCATTTAACGTTAATTACGCATGAACTGCAATGCGAGGTGTCTATTGAATTTCATAGTTACTTGTCACATAAGTTATAAATGTTCGGAATCACAATTTTGAGTTTTTAGCACTATCCAATTTTCAATAAAGAAATGTTTTCGACATTTCCCCTAATGTGCACTGCAATTTAAATTTCTCACAGTTTTTAAGACCTCCCTTGCTTATACCAACAGAATTGTTCATGTATTTGAGAAAAATGCACTTCACACATCAAATACCACATAACTGTGAACAGGTTAATCTACGCCACGGCTAGTTCACTTTCTTTCTTAAGTCGTTATTTTAATCGTGTATAGTGATTGATTAGGATTTATATGCATCCAAATTTACACCCAAACATCCTTCAAAATTCGCCTAAATTAAATTGAGCGGTCAAACTAAGTCGAGCAGAGGACGTACTGGTTGAGAAAACGATCAAAGAGAAACGACTTTATATTCAGTATCTCGTCCCCAAAACGCACTACATAATTTTGAACACGCACTAGAACTGATTTTCCAACCGTTGTCCCACATTCCTCACATACGTCGAAACCCCTGCAAAAGTGCGCTCCCGGCGCGAGGTGCAGGTGCAACAACGGCGCGCCTGGCGAGCGACCAGGTGGGCGGCGCTGCGGCGGCGGCGGCGCCTTCGCCCTGACAATGGGAGCTCCTTGGCCGTGAGGCGGCGGCGGGGGCGGGGCAAGGGCGCCCTCAGGTGCGCGCGGAGTGGGCGGCCGCCGCCGACAGCTTTCGGGGGGGGAGGGGCGTGGCCGCGTGGGCGACGTGACGCCAGGCCCGGTTGGCGCTCAAGAGGCGCTCGCGTGTGTGCGTGTGTACTCGAACATTCAATAATGGTGTTACAGTCCTTCGTTTTCAATTTTTAAAATCAAAAACGCGGTTTTTACTCTGCGCGCAGAGGAAAGGGGGTCTTCTTTGGCTTTAAGAAATTAATAATTCCGTCAGACATCCAATTAATTATGATGATGATGATGGTAATAGTATTAAAATGCGATAAATAATAATGAAAACAGCAAATGACACCAGAACGTTCACTTCACTATTTTACATCTCGATTTATCTAAATCTGCATGAGCACTCGTCGTTCTGTAAAATGACATTTCCCTAGGACTTTATTGCCATCTGTACGTTTTTTTCTTCGACTTTCGTAATGTATTTTATTCCATCTTATTCACGCGTGCCTTTTGCCATCACAATCATTACACGCCCTGCCCCCCCTCCCCGTTTCTCTCACCGCGACCTCACCCCTGCCTCCGCCCGGCCCCGCCCCGCGTGACCGCTCATTAGCCGCCACCGCCGAAAAAAGACGCGGCGCCGCCGCCCTCGGGGCGCGAAGGGGCGCGCGCCGGTCAGCGCCCACGCAGCAAATTGGTTTGCAAGTGACGGCGCGGAAAGAGGCTCGCGTGATACACCCGGCCAGCCTCTCGCCTCAGTTGAAGATCTTCAGAAAACCAAGAAGCCGGCTCTTTCAAAACGCCTCTGAGCTTAATTAAAAAAAATCGCCTGTTTCTCGCCCAAGAAATACCTCCTTCCTCTGCTAGTAAATGAAAGGAGCGTAGAATGTGCGTGGTCAGACGGAAGAGCGGGCCTGATTGCCCGAGTCTCGCCACGTAAAATAAGGCAATTCAATTCAATTCAATTCAATGATTGGATTTCCTATAAAATTGTAAAGTGTCGAAAGATATATGACATTAACAGCATTAATTCTGGAAATATTTAGAAGAATCGGAAAAACCTATTTTCAGTTGATCAATAGAATGAAAATTTATTTTTACAGTAAATCCGCAAAATGTGTCATTGAAGCCGCATTATAAGGAATGCAAACTGTCAAACAACACGCTACAATTACTGACGCAACAGGTTTGTGACTCCAAGCGATTTCTTGCCCATCCACTGAATTCACTTTACACAGCAGAGTGTGTTACAATTAATTACCCCATTGATAATTTAATGTAATAGAAGAAAGTTTTATTAGAACACTGAGTAGACTGGCTACAAGTATACTGCACTTAACAAATAATGGCTGAGAAGTAAGCAGATCACTGTGTAGTTAACAGATAGTATAACATACAATACAGTGGGTTCACGTAGTGGCGCTATTGCGAAACTAATGTACAACAGGGTGTGCATGAGGGCCCGAGGCCCGCCCCCTGCCCTCCGCTGCCGTGCGACCCCCCGCTCGCGGCCCACCCGGGCACGCGGGGCGGCGGGACCCGACCGCTGAGAAATACGTCGCGCGTGGACGCGGCGGGCAAACGTCGCGTCGCAGAAAATAAACAATCCGGAATCGCGCGCCGAGGCGCTCACTTAGCGCGGCCCGCTCTATCATCCTGACCGCTTAACGCATTCCGCGCACTTTGCATTTCTCTCGGCCGTCCGCGCCGGAGAAGCCGGGCGTGCGTTGCGTTCTATATAAAGAGCAATGAACGAGCGAGATGTACAATGGATAGCGGTGACGAATTAAGGTCGCGAGATGAAATACCACGTAGAACATATTTCTGGCTGAGAATATGTTTAGACCGAACGAACTGGGACATATAGATGCGAGGTAAATAATTATTAAAGACACCTGTCTGGACAGGTGTACCATAACATCGACCACGTTACAAAAATATTCTACGGCGAAAGACTCGTGTTTAAACCGCGCTGACCCTTTTGGGTAAACATTTTTGGGAGAAACACGTGCGAAGGTATTCTTCAAGGTCGGAATTTTGAGAGGTTCTGTAATCACAAAACACTGACAAGATTTATTACAGTGTCAAGATAACAGGATTTTCTATGAAACGCAAGTCCACTTTAATGTCAAGGACTTGGACAAAAAACAAACCCAAACGCATCGTTATTGAAACGTTTTTCGAAGAAGGAAGAATCGCAAAATCAAGTATTTCACGAATAAAGGAGACTCGAATGATAGCATAATTATCACGAGGACTTTTTGTTCAGATACAATTTTTTCTGTTCTTCATATCTTGATACGCGAAAAACGACTTGATAAAAACAACTTGAGAAATCAAAGTTCACAAACTAAACTTTCCAGGCCCACGCATTTATCGATGAAAAACGAACTCATGGAATAGGAAATGGAAAAAATATAAAGGTAATAGCTCATTACGAGGTTTAGATATTTAGGGTTAATAAACGCTTCACAATATATCAGACCAGTGATTTGTACAAGGAAGGAAAATTTGAACTTTGTTTCTGGGAGGAAATTTTGAAGCGACGCGGTGTGCAAAGCACAATCGAATGTCGCAATTATACAGAAAAGTTATAAATTTGAATTGGCTAGATTATTAGAATTTAGAAAAATAGTTTTATGAAAAAGAATACAATTAACTACGAGTGGAACGTACGGCATAAAAATCTTAAGCCTTGTGTTCAGGGCTCGAAGTCTCCTAAACCCGAGAATGATCTGATGGCATCTTCCATTTCAGTCTTCTTACGCAATGTCGGCGAGGAGAAGTGGAATCGAATGACAGGCTGATCTCGTGTGAGTTTCTTCAGAGATTAAGAACTTATTTGTCATTAGGAGATGAAAAGCAGGTTGGAAGTGTAGAAAAATCAACAAACTCGTGGGAGTGTTTTGTAGGACAGTCATCAAACGTATGTACCGGCATTTCCTAACATATTTCTGAATTTTCTTCGTTACTTCCACATACAAAGTGAAATAAAACATTTATGACATAATTTCTAACAAAGAGTCAGTCTTGAAATTCGAAAGAAATAAACATGGTGCTAATGAAGAATACATTGTGTAAAGTCCAAAGTAGGCAACTATGCGCGGACGATCTTCTCTTTTCACCATTCTCACGTAATATTTCCAGTAGTTCTCAAGGCAGCAGAAATGCAATTTGAATAAAAAAACGATTATACCCAGAAAAAGCAAACCCAAATGAAAATTCCTAAATTATTAGATGCCGAAATACCAAGTTCCCAAACATTTTGACACTCTGACCCCAGATCAAGACAAATTTTGAACAGCCGTAGAAGTAGGAAGAGGTGCGGTAAACATACGTTCTGGTCGCTGCCCGACCTGTTTCTAGTTGTCACACGCTTGTATTGACGATACTACACTTTTTTTAGGCGAATTAAATAGATTTGTTACTAATGCTGGAATCGGCGAACATTAAGGCAAAACCTTACGGCTCGAGCTTACCCGTGATAGGGTGACGCAAGTTCGATACCTGCCAGGTGCCGAAGACGTGTTTAACATTGGGATTGCAGAGGGATCGAATTTTTAGGCCAACTAGCTTGTTTGGCTGGTTCCAATGGGTCGTGATTGGTTCCTGGTAAATGCCAGAGTAGCACCCTACAACATGGGACCTCGTGGGATCCTTCCTTCCCTACCCTGTTCCCTTTTGCATCTTTAGGGCCGAGCGATTTATCCCAAACATAAGGCCCATCCTACTGATCTAGGAAAGGAAACTTCCAAATGCGTCGGAGGCCGTTGAAGCTCGCAGCGGCAGCAGAAAGGAAGAAGATGGGACTTCATTTTCTTCCACAGAGGTGGGAGGATTCAGAGCGGAGAGAGGCGTGGCAGGAAGGCCGCGCGAAGCGGGGCGAGAGGGGGCGTGGCCAGCGGGGCAGGTAGGGCCGGCGCGGGCGGCGGGCGCGCGTGGATCTTGGCCAGCGGCAGGGCGAGTATCGGCGGGTGCGCCGCGCCGCGCCTCGCTTCTCGCAAAATCCTCTGATTTATCCAGGCAGCAGCTGGCCGCCCTCTTTCCCACGGCGCCTGCGCCCGCCCGGGGGCTATTTCTGCAGGTGCCAGCCGCTTTCGGCAGGCGCCGCGTATTTCCGAGGCGCGATCACGTGGCCGGCGCCATATTTTGCGCCCCGGGAGGGCGCGTGGCGGATGCGGCACCGCACCTTCCGGCGCCGTCTCCTCAAGCCCTCGGCCTCTCTCGGGCGCTGGAGCGACCCACTTCCGAAAGCACGGATCACCATCGGAACAACACTTGTTTCGAAAGTAAATCTCATACTTTGACTACATTCACTGTAAAAAAAATATTCACCCTGGATAATTTTGAAGAAGCTCCCTGATTACAGGTAATTTGTATTTATTGAAAACAAGCTAAGAAACGCGTTCAAAGTGTACACGTACTGCCTGTTTGAAAAGAAATGTCGGGTATTGACACGCTAAAAATATTCTGAAGAAAGAATATTTAATTTCACTGAAGTTACCAAAACACAAATGCAAGAGGCATTGCTATTCAAAAAATAGACATTTTAACCTTTTTAAAACAAATTTACCCGAAAATAGAAACAAAAGCGATTTGCAGAACTAAGAATACTTAAAATGATGTCCTCTTCAGTTAATCCAAAACAACTGTTTCTTACAGATGTGCTAGATGGTGAAATAGACAATCAACTGTTATTGGTCGAGCAATAGTTCCCAAAAGCTCACGGGCATCAAGGTGCCTTGTCGAAGTCTACAACAGAAGCTTTAGTCTACCCGCGAACAAAATGTGCTTCTTCAGTGCCGAATTCGTTACCTCAACGTCGATGAGAAAAGATCGTCACACGTACAACTTATTCCCTTTTTTATCACACAAACATATGTGACATGCCCCATTAATGATGGCAACAGATCTTTGTTAATATCAAATAAGAACTCTTGAATAATTAATAGTTTTCACCATGAATACAATTAAAGAGAGTTTATAAACAACTTCCACAATTTTATATCTGCGTAATACTTGGACTTTAAATATTGGGAATAATTCTTATTCAAGTCTATTCTGAAGTCTTGGTAAATTTTCATAACAAAAAAGCGTTGCCGGTTCATTTCTTAACAATGAAAATCAGCAAAAAGCGATTGATACCACTTACATCGCCAATGAACAGAAAGTGGAAACTTTTTTTAAAACAAAGCTGTTACTTTAGTAACTTTGTTATGTGACTTTTCGACTTTCGACAAACGTTGTTTTAGATTAAGTAAAATTATTTTTATACGACAATAATTATACATTTTTAGGTAGCATGACTTCGGCGTTCAGAAAGCACCATTTCTTCTCAATATTCGCATGTTAATATAGTTTCGGACGTCAAATTCCTTTATAGAAATACATAAAAATGGTTTGAACCAATTTTAAAACCATTGTTTGCCTGAAAAAAAAGTGCAAAAAAATCAATTCAAATAGAGTAGAACATTTCCAGGAAAATCAGTGCCGTGCAAGTATCGGCTCCCCCCCCCCGCATTTGCGCGGCGAGCGCGCGCCGGGCCGCGGCCTACCTTGAAGTCGGCGAGCGACGCCATGAGCAGGTCGAGCTCCTTGGTGGCGGTGGACGCCCCGGAGGCCGACGCGGAGGCGGAGGCCGGGCTGCCTCCGTACGTGGTGGTGGTGGAGTAGTCCACGCTGTGCACCGTGGTGTGGCTGCCGCCCGCAGGCGGGGGCGGGCGCGGGGGCCCGGCCAAGTCGCTGCAAACGACGCGAAGCGCACACTCTCTCAATCACACGCAACACAAAAGGGCCTCACAAAAGGGCAGACTGGCAGGAAAACGGCTGCGGAAGGAAGAGGGAAAGCACCCTTCGAACCCCAAAGATCATTTAGGGTTATTAACGTCATTAAGACAATATTTAGCAAATAACAGACCCAGTTACAGTTTTTAAACTGAGGAGTCATCCGAGGTTTATAATCAGCCAAGACCGATATTCGTGACGTAGGCCGTAAGTCGTTCAATACTTTTCGTAATATCACATTCTTATCAGGACAATCATATAAACAAACACATGTTCTTTGAATCCGACTACTCGTGCATTCAGTTTCAACTCATTTGTTTCCATTGTTCTGAAATGGACGCCGGCTTTCAAGAGTGGCGCATCGACTGGTCTCCTCACAATAAGAATTTTTCTGTCGAAGAAATCGTCACTTTTTACAGCAGCATTGCAATACTTTCACTATACTACGTAAGTAGTATGAGAGAAAGTAAAATGACGATGAAGCATATTCAAGAGATGAACTTTGGTTTAATACTTGTAAAACAATGTTTAAAGAAAGTCTTGACGATGAAGCATATTCATGTGATGAACTTTGGTTTAATACTGGTAAAACAATGTTTGAGGAAAGTCTGAGATGTGTTGGTAATACCTTTTTTTTAGCCACTCCCCAAGAAACAAAACTTCACACAGACAAAGAGTGGTCTATTTCACGCCGACGGCGAAACATCCTTTTCACTCTTTTTTACTCTCAGAATACAAGTTACTCGAGACGTTGCATAAACAATCATGTCAGTATTGTTTGAAAATATTTAAGACTTAGAAAGTAGCTGTTAAGAAATAACGTAGAAGAAATACTGCCTAACAATAATTTTTCAATGATTTTGGAAATTCTTCTTTCTAGGGTTTTAACATTATTACGGCGTTGTAGTCAGCAGTAGGTAAAATAAAATGCATTTATTTAATATTCAACTTTAGGAATTAAATTAAAAATAGTAATTCTGTTAACTTTGAGATTCTTAAATGGCGCGTTTGCTGTAAGCATTGAAAGTACAAACATTTGATGAATTATTAACCGACAAAATTAGCAGTATTATTCAGTAAGTAGTTCAATAGAGAAAGAATGAATCCAGGAAACTGATTTTTTTCCTTTTTTAAAAATTCAGCAACTCTACCTAACAGCATTTTATAATTCATTCTTTGTGTTTATTTACATGAAACGATTTCAACCTTAGGCAAAACGATGAAAGATGGAAATATATATTATATCAAAGATCTTTCTCTTAACTTGCTTTCTTGTAGTGTTGAACCCAATCACACGTAAAGACAAATAAGGGATAAGATGCTCTAAACAAGACACTCGAGAATGTTCGGTGATTTTCAGAAGTATAGGCATCGGAACTATGAAGCATTAGGGCAAGGTACGGCGAGATCAATTTATCTCATAGGTCATTAAAATTACGGCAGAATAAGTTTTTCAATGGATGACAAGGGCGGATTGGAATCTCGAAAGACGCGACAGCAAAATCCCTTACCCGAACTCTAAAATCTCGGTCACCAAGACGGAAGGGACATTGACAATCCTCTTTGGAAAATGCTTCAGCCGCAACTGAATTTTGCGGTAACTTAACCGCAATAAAATTGCATTCTTAATTACGTATTTTTGGATGAAAGTGAGTGATCGAGGTCATAAGTCCGACAACTACAGAGGTCATAAGTCCGACAACTACAGAGGCCATAAGTCCTGTAAGTGTAGTTAATGTTTCGCCACGGGCGGTGGCAGTGCTCCTCTCCAGCAAGTCGGTAAATCCGGCGCTGATTTACACTATACTTGCGGGTAATTTCTCCCTCCAGATATCTCCCCCAGCGGAGAAGCGGCCCAGCCGAGTCAAGCTCTGGTTTCCTGATATGAAAAGATCGCTCCCGGCCCCTGGGCTGTAGGGAAAGGTACTGCTCTGGCATTCACCTGATTTTGGTCGGAGGCTAATGATCAGAGCAGCCGTGCGTTAAAATTCTCCTCCAGACAGTGGCTGAATTCTACCAAGTTGTGTAGAGAGTGAGGAAAATCGATCACCTTCGGGATTCGAACCCATGGACCTCCGGTCAACGATGCTGCACAGCCCACGGGGTTGCTACTGAACTATCGCAGCCCTACTTGCTACATGCTCCTTGTAGAAGTATGACGAATCACAATTGTGCCGCTTTTACCACTGAGAGGATCATCACCACAGGGAGTTCCCTTATCTCGCGTATAATTAACTCGCGCAGCGGCAGCGCGCGC